CAAGTTTATTGGCCGCATAGAGAAATGTGCCAACATCAGCCTTTTCATCGTCAAGGACCATGCAGAGGAGAAGATCCATACTCCTGTTGACTTCACAAGCTTCATTCAAGACTATTTAGTTTTATAGACACTTCACTTCGAACTAGGCCTCCCAGATGTCGAGGAATGAATTACCATGGAACGGACAATTCAAAGTGTCAACTCTGATAGAAGTGGAGGTAAAAGGGTTCTGGTAGCTTTAGGGGTTGGATGGACTCTATACCAATCACTCGTCTACAATAGACCAAGGTGATGAAGACACCATCCAAGTGGGCCATGATGAATTCCTCCGTTTCCGATTTCAGCCCAATTGAAGTGAGGAAAATGAATGTCAAGTTCTTGGATAAACCAAGGTCTCCAATACTTTTGTAGAAAACTCAGTATCTGGTGTATCTTCATGAAGTCACAGAAACAAATGGAGCCAAGTNCACAATAATCAACCTAAATACCTAGGGGTTATATTAGACAGAACGTTTAGTTTTAAAGAACATCTGTCGAAAACAGCAGCGGTGTGGCTTGATAGCGCTCACGATGGCCTAGTTGTCCAGATGTCCATCTCAACCACACAATGCGACTTATTACAGGTGCGATCAAACCAACACCTACTTTCTGGCTCCCCATATGGATATCTATGAATGTAGAGGAATACGAGATACGACTCAAACGGTGGATTGAGTCGTATCTCAATGGTCGCAGTCAGATTGTAAAAATGACTGAATGTTCAAACAGTATTGAAATGAATACTGATTCACCACAGGAATCGGTTCTCGGTCCTATATTGTTCCTGTTGTATATTAACTATTTGATGAACATAAGTGTATTTGGAACATTCACTCTTTTTGCTGAGGACACCACTATATTGTGGCATAGTAAAGGTTTCTATTTAATCAATGAGACAAGAGCTCATGATATACAGAAAATCAAGTCATGGTGTGATTCCAATCTACTCTTCCTTGATATTATATATTATAACTTTTGAATGAATGTTCACTTCATGATTCATCTGTAACGAGCGGAGCGGTATCATTGAGAACAGAGAGATCAGGAAGTTGAAAAGCAAAATCACGCTCAGGTAGAGTCTCATTTGAGGTAAGGGTGTTAAGATGTATAACCATCTGCCGAGTTACACTGAAGAGACAAATTTTGTTACCAATCAATACAGAAAAATAATTAAATGAATTTTGAGTAGGAGACCCCTTTATAGTTTGACAGAGTTCTATACGGATCATTTTTAACCTAGCATGTTTTATGTGTATGTATGTTTCAACCTTTGTTCTTGGTTTTTATTCAGTGTTTTTTATACTTTAGTTTACATTATATTTCATCTATATTTTCATATTCATAGGACATTTATGTATTTTTCATATTCATTGTCGACAATTTTTTTTCTTTCATAAACACTCTATGTGCTATCCTGGTTCATAATCATCATTATACAATTTTTTTGTAATTATTCATCATCCATTTTCATCGAGTAAATATGATATCACAACTTTCCGATATTTCTGTTCATTACGTGGTACAGCTCATAGAGGTTTGAAAAAAATTCGAAGTTCAACCTCTCATCCCATGTTTTTTCTCTTGAGATTATTAATGAAGAAAATAGGCTATGATCTCTCGCTCTAGTTGAACATTAAAAATATAAAAGCACACGTTAATAATCTTGAAACAAAATACGAATCATTTAAGAAAAATGAGCTGGAGTTAACCAAATCCTGTATGTGGTTTATCTTTCCTCAAACGAAGTTTATGAAGGTCAAATGTAGAATATTATTACAGAGAAATTAACGAAAATTTATCGTTGATAAAAATTCATATTATAACTGATTAATACAGTTTATTGTATGATTTTTACTATGAAGGGTTTTACAAAAACCACAACACGTGTTTTGCTATACAATAGCTTTCTCAAGCAGTTTTAATTTATGCTTGAGAAACACGTGTCGCGGTTTTTGTGAAACCTGTTATAGTGAAAATCATACATAACACTGTATTAATTACTTTTTTTTTAAATTTATCATTTCATCTTCGGAATGTTGAGTTGATGTGTTTTCCAAGTTGATGTTCATTAACTTACATAAAATATTGATATTTATATCGCATTTTGACTACTTCGTAAGCAGCTTTCCAGTGCCCAACTCCTCCAGAACTAGGGCAGTGGCATTATCTCCATCTATCCAGCAATTGCTGTTGCTTCGAATTATTCACGGTATATGACCCAAGATCAGAAGCTTCAATGCTCTTCCTTGCAATATCTTCACTGCTGCTGGTGGGAGTTTTATCATCAAAACGGATATGATATATTTGAAGAGGGCAGGTTGGGTGGTCATTCGAGAATTTTCACATTCTTAATCAATTGGTTTGTGTGCTTTGTCTCACTCCTTTCATGACCCCTCTGTTGATCTTGCTAACTGATCTTGACTTCTCTAACCTTATCAGTGAAATATTCTTCACTAACTTTTGTAATTTCACCGCGTACTCTGTACATTTCATTTTGCTGTTATTCTGCTTCATTTTTTGTGGATAATTTGTTGATCCACACTATATAGGTCTTTCAGTTCACGCAGCTGCTTCTTCAGGAATTGTAGCATTTTCAATTATTCCTTGTGCTGTTTTTTTTTCTCAACCATTTATCGTGGTTTCATTTGATTCAGCAGAATATTTTCCTTTTCTACCTTCTTGTTCCTCTTATTGTTCATGCAAAATTTTTATGTTACTTCTTTTTTCTTTTTTGCTCGCACCTCTACCTTTTCATTTCTCATTATTTTTTCTGTTTTTGTTTTTGTCTGGATGAGTCAGGAACTCTGGAGTGAATGCATGGATCAATAAATGAATCCAACGCCGAATTTTTTTTAGAAATTGATGAATGGATTTACTCGCCATTTTTAGATTCTACTGCACCCAGTTATGAAAGCGTAAAAATATACAGGTTGTTTTTGAATAATATGTTGAAATTCTAGTGGTTGATATTATGGATGAAATAATTCATTCATGATATGGAAGGGAGTTTAATTTTCGAACTCGACACACATCTTTACAATTTACAAATCCTGTTGAGTATTCGTATCGTATATTGAATCACTTTCCATTTCACAAACGTATCACTAATATTTCACGAAGATCTTATTTTCATTCAGCACAATCGAAAGTACAAATCATTTCAAGGTTATTCATAGTTAATTACATCTATAGAATTGATATCGAATATAATATAGAGAAAGGTTACTCAATGAAAGTATCATAAAATGAAAATGATTGTATAGAAAACTCACTTGAATTTATGCGTTTTGTCAAGGATGTATCCAGTTATCAGTGATCCTCCAATACCAGATATTATCATAATCAACCCCATTTTTCCAACGTCTTCCTGGGTGCCCTGTGATATTCAAAATAAAAATTCTATTTACATAGGAATTTAGGCTTTCACGGCCAACGTCAATATTTTGGTTGGCTTCCTGAATTTGTTGTGATCTTCTTTGTTTATAATCTCCAAACGTTCCGACTACAACTNACTGATTAATACAGTTTATTGTATGATTTTTACTATGAAGGGTTTTACAAAAACCACAACACGTGTTTTGCTATACAATAGCTTTCTCAAGCAGTTTTAATTTATGCTTGAGAAACACGTGTCGCGGTTTTTGTGAAACCTGTTATAGTGAAAATCATACATAACACTGTATTAATTACTTTTTTTTTAAATTTATCATTTCATCTTCGGAATGTTGAGTTGATGTGTTTTCCAAGTTGATGTTCATTAACTTACATAAAATATTGATATTTATATCGCATTTTGACTACTTCGTAAGCAGCTTTCCAGTGCCCAACTCCTCCAGAACTAGGGCAGTGGCATTATCTCCATCTATCCAGCAATTGCTGTTGCTTCGAATTATTCACGGTATATGACCCAAGATCAGAAGCTTCAATGCTCTTCCTTGCAATATCTTCACTGCTGCTGGTGGGAGTTTTATCATCAAAACGGATATGATATATTTGAAGAGGGCAGGTTGGGTGGTCATTCGAGAATTTTCACATTCTTAATCAATTGGTTTGTGTGCTTTGTCTCACTCCTTTCATGACCCCTCTGTTGATCTTGCTAACTGATCTTGACTTCTCTAACCTTATCAGTGAAATATTCTTCACTAACTTTTGTAATTTCACCGCGTACTCTGTACATTTCATTTTGCTGTTATTCTGCTTCATTTTTTGTGGATAATTTGTTGATCCACACTATATAGGTCTTTCAGTTCACGCAGCTGCTTCTTCAGGAATTGTAGCATTTTCAATTATTCCTTGTGCTGTTTTTTTTTCTCAACCATTTATCGTGGTTTCATTTGATTCAGCAGAATATTTTCCTTTTCTACCTTCTTGTTCCTCTTATTGTTCATGCAAAATTTTTATGTTACTTCTTTTTTCTTTTTTGCTCGCACCTCTACCTTTTCATTTCTCATTATTTTTTCTGTTTTTGTTTTTGTCTGGATGAGTCAGGAACTCTGGAGTGAATGCATGGATCAATAAATGAATCCAACGCCGAATTTTTTTTAGAAATTGATGAATGGATTTACTCGCCATTTTTAGATTCTACTGCACCCAGTTATGAAAGCGTAAAAATATACAGGTTGTTTTTGAATAATATGTTGAAATTCTAGTGGTTGATATTATGGATGAAATAATTCATTCATGATATGGAAGGGAGTTTAATTTTCGAACTCGACACACATCTTTACAATTTACAAATCCTGTTGAGTATTCGTATCGTATATTGAATCACTTTCCATTTCACAAACGTATCACTAATATTTCACGAAGATCTTATTTTCATTCAGCACAATCGAAAGTACAAATCATTTCAAGGTTATTCATAGTTAATTACATCTATAGAATTGATATCGAATATAATATAGAGAAAGGTTACTCAATGAAAGTATCATAAAATGAAAATGATTGTATAGAAAACTCACTTGAATTTATGCGTTTTGTCAAGGATGTATCCAGTTATCAGTGATCCTCCAATACCAGATATTATCATAATCAACCCCATTTTTCCAACGTCTTCCTGGGTGCCCTGTGATATTCAAAATAAAAATTCTATTTACATAGGAATTTAGGCTTTCACGGCCAACGTCAATATTTTGGTTGGCTTCCTGAATTTGTTGTGATCTTCTTTGTTTATAATCTCCAAACGTTCCGACTACAACTGCGGCAGTGGTCGAAGTACTCTTCTGAGTTTCAGTTGACACGTCAAAAAGAGTATTTCGACCACGCCACTGAAGATGACTGCCGCAGTTGGAGTCGAAACGTTTGGGGATTATAACCAAAGAAGACCACGGCAAAACTCGGAAACCAACCAAAACAAAAGTTCTATTCTGTTTCACATCTTGAAAAATAGGTTCATATTTCAAAATGTAGGTACGAATGTATTTTTGTACGAATTCGGTGACCTATTATAGAGCCGATAAGCGTAATATGTAAAAAATAAAAGTTTTACAAATGACCGGTTACGAAGATGAAACCCGAACGAAACAGAAAGTAGCTCGCCTATTTTATGAAAAATTTCCTAATTTACCGCCCATATCTCAAGGAACAATAAGTAAAATAGAGATGCAGTTTGACGAGCTTGGTCATGTGGGGCAGATACAAAAAGCAGCTGCCAATGCAATGAGTGATGAACTCAAATTAGATGTGATGCTTGAGTTTGAGAAAAACCCACATACATCGAGTAGACAGGCATCCACTACATTCAATGTTAGCCATACATCAATAGTAAACATATAAAAAGAAAATAAAATGCATTCCTATAAAATGATAACTACTCAGGAGCTCATGAAAGACGATTTTGATAGAAGAACTTATTTTTGCGAGCAAATGATGGAGGACATGTTGGATAACAATATATTTCAATTAAGACATTTTCTGATGAGTGTACTTTGTCTCCTAACTATCATGCTGATCAGCAGAATTGCCGCTACTGGTCAACGGAAAAGCCCCACTAGATGAGAGAAGAACACACGCAATAACCTCAAAAGGTTAATGTTGCGGCAGGGAGTGTAGTAAATCATAACACTGGTCCGTTTTTCATTGAAGGCAACTTGAATGGCGATAATTATTTGGATCCAGGAAACCCTCAAGTTCCAGTGAATACAGTATGGTTTCAACAGGATGGAGCACCACCCCATTACCAAGTTGATATCCGGCAATGTCTCGATACAAAATTTCCCAATGGGTGGATAGGGGGGCGAGGATTGATTAAATGGCCAGCGCGATCACCTGATCTTTCATCATTAGTTTTCTTTTGATGTGGATATGTGAAGAGCAATGTGTACAAAACGAGACCTTCAGATTTGAATGACTGCGCCTGCGATTAGGTCAGTCACTGCTGATATATTAAATAATGTTGAAAAAGTTTTATTACATTTCATTTTTTTTTCATCTTGATTGTTGCAATTAACTCAAAAGCGATAACATCTTTGAATAGAGAATGAAGAGACTTTCCAAAGATATATCACAAACCTACATTCTCATTAAAAAAATTGGGGGTTGTACGTTGTACCTCGCATTCGAAGGGGGTTGAAGATATAGGTGGCATATTTACGTTGAGGAATGTCAAATTATAATTTACATTTGACATGTTCCAGGATTTGTTTTAAATTTGTACAGTAACCGAAGTAATGAATTGATTCCATATGGCTTTTACACACTATATGTTGAGTAAAATGTTGTCTCTTAGACACTCCTAATATGAATCGCACACGAAAGTTCTGTAGTTTTTGCAGTATGAATTCATAAAAATGTAGTAAATTTGATCCACACATTACGACGGCATGATTTGCATGCAAGAAACAAGCGTATCGCAAAGCATTTTCCTGATTCTGACATTCAGAACAGATCAGTTCGAATAGACAACCTCAGTTAGTCATCTGAATGAAGACCAAAGTTTTTTACTTCATACTTCGGACTTCCATTGTCTAGTATGATATAGATTGATTTTGAAATCCCTGAAAGAATCTGTAAAACATTAAAAAGATTAGCTGAAAAATAACAATTATATCAAGCAAAACAACTGAAATTACGATGAAATAAAATATAAACAATAATTAAAAAATAAAAATAAAAGAATGAAAAATTGAACTATTAACACGAGATGAAAATTAAAAAATCATTAACAAGAAATGAAAAATAAAAATTAAAAGATTTCAACCAAGGTACTACACGACGTTTCGATTGTTAGTATCCACAATCGTCATCGGGTGACAACTGTCATATAAGACATTGGAAGTCCGAACTAATGAAATGCACCATTCTCCAAAAGGTTTATTGTCGTTGAAAAGTTGTATGTTGGAACGCAACTCAAAAAAATTAAGGTCTTGTGATAATGTATGGAAGTTTGATGAATTATTCAAAAATATGGATAATTGAAAGAAACATATATTTCAGGAGAGATTAGGACAAACTGAATAGGGAAAAGTAATTTCATAGAAAGTGGTTATTTCGGGTGGCCTTTTTCTTCAGTATTATTTAATGTTTTTTTTTGTTTGTATCTGAAGATAACTTTCATGCATGATCTACACGTGAATATTTCATTTTGAACTCAATTACATCCATGGATAGTGTTATTAATTTTCAGTAACGGGTTAGTCCAGTCATAATTTGAACTTGATTTTTTTTCCTTCCTTCGAAAGTTCTACACATTTTTTGTATAAATATGGAGGAATAGAAAGCCAAAAAGGCTTTTTCTCAAAAACGAATCTATCCTAAAAAAATATGTCAATCTCTCGAAGGTCGCTGAAGCATTACAAATCCCGAATAGCATAACCGTGAACTGCTACAATCCTGAGCCGATGGTGGAAGCAATCTTCTCTCGATCTTCTGGGGCCAATTCAACTTGCCAATATCCACTCTTCAAATCCAAAGTCGAGAAAATTGTAGAGCCGGCTAGCGTGTCTAGGGTGTCGTCGATTCTTGGAAAAGGGTAGCTGTCTTTCTTCGTCACGTGATTTAGTTGGCGATAATTCACGCAGAACCTTGTCGAGCCGTCCTTCTTCTTGCGAAAGATCTTCTGCGGAAGATCAGGGGCTGTCAGAAGGTTCGATGACTCCTTCTTCTCCCATATCCCTGACTATCTTGTCTGCCTCTTCTCTCTTGGCAAGAGGGAGTCTTCTAGCTGATTGCCGGATTGGTCAGGCATTCCCAGTGTCGATTCTGTGCTGAACCACATTCGTTCTGCCGCCTTCTCCTTCTCCAATATCGAAGATTTCCTGGTACTTCTTGACTAACTTCCTCAATTTTGATCGGTGAGTTGGTGGTATGTCTTTGGAGGAAATGTTAATTAACTTCTCCAACTCTTTAGGCAAATTGTTGGCTTGGCTTACCGAACTGCGTACACTCCGTATCACAGAGGAAACGGACGAACAGTGCCCCAGCATTGTTCTTTTCTTCAAGGTCACGGGATAGTAGTTGACATTCATGACCCTGACCGGCACAACTTTATCAACACGCAACAGGGTCTTTCCCAGTGCGATTCCTCATCCAATTTTCTCATCGTGTATCTTGGGCTCGAACATTACCACCTTGCCGCTACTCGCACTTCCGTCCAAGCGAGCCTCCAGGATGATTTCAGCCCTTTCAGGTGTGCACACGTCTTCAGCCAACAGGACCCTGATCGTCTCTTTGCTTTTTCCATGAAGCACCAGCTCTTCTCCGCCGACACGTAGGACGCCGTCTTCGAAATTCAGCTCGAACCCTCTGGAATTCATCATGTTGCTGTGCGTAGCTTCCAGCTTGACGGTTCAATTCTTGCCGGTGTTTTGGCAAAAGTTGGCCCAAGAATGGTTCTCGTTGCACCTGTATCTAGCAGCATGGTGCAAGGCTCGTTGTTGATGAGGCCGTCTAAGAAAACACCTTTGTCTTGTCGTTGGAGAACGGCAACATATGCGTTTTTTACGGGGGCTTGTTGGGTACAGGCCGACTATTGGCCCTTCTCATCGACCTTCTCTAGTTTTCCTGATTTGGTGCCGATTCTTTGAAAGCTGGACATTTGCTACGCACATGTCCAATTTTCCTACAGTTCCATCATTTCATTTGTTTTCTCTCAGGCAACATTTCTTTCATTACTTTTCTGATGGTGGCCTCAATATCCGCAGGCACTTGTCCATCTCCCTCGATAACTCGAACTTTGCTCTGACTCTTGCAGGATTGTTTTGCAGCCTCAAACTCCAGAGCGCTTCCCAGTACATCCACGAGATGTTTGGGATGAGCTAACGTCAAAACCTGCTTCGTTTCTTGGTCGTGAAGTCCATCCAAGGATGCCTGAACTGCTAACCGCTCCATTACATTTTCGGGTGTCGCAGGATATACCAGACGGACCAATCGAGCTATGTCGGCTTCGAACTCCTGTAGGGATTCTCCTGATTTCTGGCAGCGGTTCTTCATCTGTGAATAGTAAACGTGCTCTAGGTGGGCCTGTCCATACCGCAGCTCAAGATGCTTTACAATTTGGTCATAGTCTTCCTGTTCCTGAGCCGTGAGGGTTTGCAGAATATTCGTTGCTTCTCTACGCAACGCCAATGTTAATGCTACCACCTTTTCTCCTACATTCCATCCATTGGCTCTGACCGCAGCTTCAAATTGTCGGCGATAATTTGCCCAAGATGTTTTTTCGTCGAACTGGGGCGGCTTCAAGGAGAGCTTATCTGGTCCAGGACTGACTTTAACATCTTTCAGTTCCGGAATTGAGTTATTGGTAATCGTTTCTGTGGGGTGGGCAGAACTAACGATTTGGTTTTACTTGTTAATTGTTTCCTTCATCTTGCTGATTTCTGTCTCAAATACGTCTTTGATTTCGTCGCCTAATTTTTCTTTCATTCTCTTCATTTCTGCCTCGATTTTATCTTTGATCTCACCTCTGATTTTGTATATCTCTGTCTTGATGGTACCTATTCTTTCTTCTAGTAGACTCGCCACACCACAAAGTTCTTTCTTTAAGCCTTCTGCATTTTCTAGAAGCTTCTCCTCCAAGCTATTCGAATTCTCTACAAATTCATCTTCCAAATATTTCGAATTTTCCAAAAGCTCCGCCTCCAGGCACTTCGAATATTCCAGAAGCTTCTCCTCCAGACTCACCGAATTTTGTTGAAGTCATTATTGAACTCAAATCAGCCCCAAAAACTTCGAATAAATATGTTTCGAAATCTTCTCCTGATTCAATCAAGTTATCCCATAGTCTCTTTTGGAGTACTGATTTATTTTCGGAAAAATCTAGCTCTCTCTCCTCCAATTCTTGCTTCAATTCGGCGACTTTCAAGTCCACTAGGCACACTTTCCTCGAACACATTTTGTCTCTTATTGTCTATTTTCCACAAAATTGAATATGTCCACTTATTTTAATCGGGTCCGAAACACTTTATTTTCACAAGTCTATTTTTCGCGAAAAAAGGTTTATTTTTCCGTAGTCCGGTACTGTCCACTTCGCGAAACACAATGAATCGCCAGTCTCTATGAGAACAAATAAGTCTTATAGTCAATTTCAACGTAATACAAAGAGTGTCCACCAAGCGCTCACAAATTTATTTTAAAAATCCACTTCTGATCACCAATTGTAACGAATTAATGAATTAAGTGTCTTTCACAAATTTATTTCTAACAATATTTCACTATCACAACTAATTTATATTCAACACTCTCAACACTGAATACAGACTGCCGCTATCGACTAGAAGCGGCCTTTTCATATCGGCAAAGATCGCTCCAGATCTCTCTGGGGGTTTCGACACTCATCTATACCTTTCGCGGTGGTTCGCAATGAGTCATGTGTTTGCTGGCTGAGATATTGGTCAGGGCCGGCTTCAGATTCGTTACAATATTGAACTTATTATTTCCTTTGGAGATTATATTTTGGAAAGTCAAAAAGGTTTCAATCCAAACTGGATAATAATATATAAGTGTAACTATTCTTAAAATATAATGAATAATGAAAGACTTACCGGGAAGTAATTCAATACAATTTGATTCAGGAGTGTTCCAATGACTGAATATACGCCGTAATTACATCCGAATGCTACCAGGTGTAAAAGGAAGAATTTGTTTTTTATCAGAATTTTAATTGATTTCACGAATATAGAAAAAGTTATGTGCTTTTTATTGATTCTTTCTTCGAACATGGCTATACTTGGTGGATGAACAGGTTCTTTAGGAAAATCTGAAAGAATAAACAGGAACTTGAATAATATATATGAAAAATGTGATTCAGAAATACATGAGAAAATTTTAATGTTGTGTTGGAAATCAAATGAAAAAGTTATAACTGATTTTTAATGATTGACCCAGGAAATCATTCCGCGAGAGTTCAATCGTGTTGAAAATACTTATGTTTTTCAAAAACTCCACTACGATATTATTGTTGGCTTGGGTGGATTTTTCATCTTAATATTCTGCTATTCTGTTGTATTGAATAGGTACTTGAAAATCAAGTACATTGAAAGTACTTCCAACATTCAATTACATTTTCACTTCTCATTGAAACTAATTTCGAAGGAATCCTCACTTTTCCTTCAAAACGCTGAAAATTTTCACGAATACAAAAACAATTATAAGGAAAGAACTTTTCACATATAGTCAGTGGGCATACTTGAAACCATCTAAAGGAACATTTATTTGAAGGTGATTGACAATGTTTCATGATGAATTTCACTAGTTCGGACTTCCATTGTCTCATATATAAAATGATTTGAAATCCCTGAGACACCTGAAAGAGAAGAATTAAAAAATGAAAAGATGAAAATAAAAATTATTTTAAGAAAAAACCTGAAATGAAATAAGAGTGAAATAAAATACAAGTAAAAATAAAACAATTGAACAAAAATTAAATAAAAATAAAGAAATGAAAAAAGAAAATAAAAATACAAAGTTAAGAGATTCCAAGCCACGTTAGTTCACGACGTTTCGATTGTTGGTATCTACGATCGTCTTCGATTGTACTTATCAGAAAACAACTACTACCCTGGCTAATACCAGGAAAGACATTGGATTATATCCGACAGGTGTCGGTGCAGGATCCTTTACTGAAGTTATTCCTTCATACAACTGCCGCAATAGATTTTCAATTATTGGAACTCACTTGCAGACCGCTTTCGGGGTATCGCGCTTTCGTCAGTGCAAAGTAGTGTCTATCATCAAAATGAAATCGACGATTTCCGATAATTGAAAATCGAATTCCTTCAGAGTATCATTCCTCGAACCAGGCTGAAGCGGACAACAAACAACAGGTTTGTCATCGTCATTGTCAATTATCGGATTTTATGTTGATGATAGACACCACCTTGCACTGGCCAAACAGCCCAAAACCGGTCTGCAAGTGTGTTCCAGTAATTGAAAATCTATTGCGGCAGTTGTATCGCCAACAGCATATACAAGAATAACTTCAGTGAAGAATTCTGCACTGACACCTGTCGGATAAAATTCAACGCCTTTCGTGGTGTTAGCCAGGAAAGGCGTTGTTTTCTGATAGGTGTCAGTCCATTAACCTACAGTGTAGGTGGTTGAGACTGATCTGAACGAATTTATCAGTTTTTCATTGCCTTGTAACACACACTGATATACTACGGAACGTTGTCCCTCATTGCTCCCAAAATGATAATCGTGCTGTCTAGGTAGGGAGGTGAAAAGAAGGTACAAAAGCTAAGTTATTCGATTTCTAATTACAGAAAAAAGAGCTTTTTTGTGCAACCCTATTTGCTCTAAGTAACGAATCATTTCGAACTTTCTGTCTTTATATACTTACAGAAATATACGATGAGAACTAATGGCATTGAGACTAGAAAGACACTCCAACACATCACCCTGAGATCTGCGGCGATGTCATCCAAATTATCGCTATCTTTCACTAATATCGGAGGAACGTAAAAGCTGAAAGCAACCCCCAATATCGAACCCATTATACCAAGAGAACATGCCGTTGACACCTACATTGGAAAAAGTTAATTACTGTTACTGATAATTTTCGAATTTATTTATGAATGGCAGTGGATGAATAACACATTGATGTCGTGATGATTACATCGACGAAGTAGATTTAGATGTTTGAAATGCCTGAAAACTTGCTGCAAGTAAGTATGTTGATGATATATTTTTGTACCACCTATTTCTGAGTTGAAAGAAATATATGACACATTCGTATATGAGAATATATGTAAAATTAAATCAATTGCAATGGGTTGTGTAGGGTTAAATGTTACGCTAATCAAACTATGTTGCCCACTTATTGTTCCGTATATCACACATATTATAAATTTTTGCCTGATACATGGTGTCGTCCTGTTAGTTCGGAGAAGGCTGTAGTGAGGGTTTTGCCCAAAAATCAACGCCCTACATTATACACAGATCTTAGGGGGATAAACATTTTACCTATTCTTTCTAAGATTCTTGAAAGGAGTATCGAAGTACAAATGAAAGAGAATTTGACTAATTTCTCATTACTGCCCACTGTTCAATCTGGCTTCCGAAAAGGTCATAGCTGTACTGCTTTACTTGATATTGTAGATGATATTATTACTCCCATCGATAAAGGTCAATGTAGAATTTTAGTTCTTTTAGACTTCAGTAGAGCATTTGACACTATTTACGAAATTATTTAAGCAAGAGGGAGCAAGTGTGTAGAAATTGGAATGGTCCGATATGAATATTTGACACTGAAATCAGGGGTACCTCAGGGCTCTATCCTGTGCTCGTTGCTATTTCCTATATACACTCTCAATTTGATCAAATCTCTGATGTTATGTAGGATTCACGTCTGTACAGATGGCACCCAAATCTATTACAGTTTTCCTTCCTCACTAGTGGATAATGCTTGTGAAATTATGAATCAGGAATTAGCGATCCTCATTGATTCAGCTTTTGATCACTGCTTATTGATCAACTGTACTAAATCGAATAATTGTTGTTCAGATCTGCATATAATTGTGCTAAAATGCAGCAAATAAACTTTAAAATCAAAGATGATTTTTTAACTGTAGTAAATGAAGCTAAAAATTTAGGAGTCATCTTGGACTTAGATCTAAGATTCGAAAAACATATCAATAAGTTAATTCAACGTGCCTATAGCTCATTAAATTTGGTTCATGGGAACCGTCAGTTTTTTCCAAGAAGTGTTGAAATAATTATATATGAAATATTAGTTTTGTCAAATTTTAATTTTGCGGATTCGTTAAATGGTCCAAATCTGATTACTGTTTACAGTAAAAAAATCCAGAAAGAACAAAACTCGTGTTTCAGAGTGACATATGGCATAAAAAAGTTTCAAGTTATATCACACAAATTGCTTGAATTCATCATGCAAATTCATTATATCATCAATTTATCCTAACAAAAATTCCTATATTTCTCTATCAATAACATTCAGAACGAATGTACACAACTTGAATTTGAGATTCGAAGGTTTCTTATCCCCACCGTCATTTGAAATGGAAACATTCAGACATATCTAATTTATTAGTTGCGCAACTCCGTTCCTAAATTCTTGCAAATTCTCAGTATTACAAGTTTTACGTCAAATTATAAAAATTTCCTACTCAAATAATAGAAGTCAGTTTTATCTTAACTAGCTCTTTCCAGTGTTCTCTTGTTCTCCTTACTATAGCTATCATTGTGATTTATGTATTCTATATAAATATATTGTCTATACTCACTACCTTATTATTATTGAGGAAAAATATGCTTTAGAGAGTTAAGTGAAGGAACATTTTCCTGATGAAGTGAGTGATTGCTTCATTGGAGAAAATGAACTTCGCTTTTTATTTTCCAACTTTCTTTGAAAACATTTTTTATTATAGATGTGCTGTTTGTGGAAAATAATAAAGACGTATTATTATTATTATATTCATAATTTTGAAATAAAGTATCAAAGAATTGAACACATTTTTCGATTCCATCACTCACAAGGAACCCACAATGAAATTTAATGAATAATTAGGAAGAACACCAACTTTAATTTTTTGATGAACTCCCAAGATATCTTTTGAAAAAAAATGTTTTTCCGATAAAGAAAGCCAACCGTCAGAAATCGAAATTTGTGCGAGCCAAGGACTGACGAGCTATTTTCTTTCAATCTGCGATTCAAGCACGAGTTGGGCGATAATCAGCAGAAAAAGCTCTTGCGACCGGCGAGCTCGAACCACCGTTATACATAGCAGTTGGTTCGCTTAGTAAACCGCAACTCCCATGCTGACCAACCGATTACCGTCTTGGATGTATTTTGACGTATTTTGCAGGCATCTAGATCTAAAAAAATCTGTTTTTTCGTTAAACAGCAGTCGCACCCCTACGAACGACAACCCTCAGAAGTCGAAACTTGTGCGAGCTGAAGTTTAACGAGGTCTCACCTTTTAACGTGTGATTCCTAACACAGGTTGGACAATAGCAAGTAAAAATTGATCATTCAGACTGGGGCTTTAACCACCAACCAATACGACAGTTAATTCGAGTGAGTGAACAAAGCACCCATATCAAACCACCTGGCTACCGACCTGTTTCTGAACACTTCCTAAATTTTTTCTATCTTATACTGTACGCTTTCTGAAAGTTTCTGGACGCTTTTCGACGTTTTCCATAAGCTTTCTAACGTTTTCTAGATGCTCTTTGAGATTCCCCAAATATTTATCAGTGAACTCACGTATTTCAATTTCATCCTCTCTCAGGATTCTCACTGTTCAAACTGGTACTACAAGTCAAATTGAAATTGAATCATAATTTTTCACAATCCATCACTTAGAACTCTCAAATTTTTTCAATAATCTCGGAAATTTTAAATTTCTCTCATGCTTTTTAATTAATAAAATTATAATTTTTCTAATTTACAGATGGAATCGTTTGTAACGAGTACCCACATCAACCTATTTCCCCTCTAATTGCCGAAATAGGTCACAATGGATTTTGGCTTCACTCAAGTTGAATTGACATTTTACATCATTGAATTCGAGATTTTTATTTCTTTGGTACTTTCAGCATCCGATATAATTTTAATATTTTATAAAACTTGATTGAAATGGGTGCCTAATCATATTATTGCATCTCTTATAACTTAAGATGAAAGTTAATGGATATTCGTGTTTGAAATCAGATAACAAAAGTTTATATTGGTCACCTATCACAGAAACTGAAGTGATTGAAGTGAATGAATCTGCTTCAGATCCTGATAAATCAGATAACACTTTACTCAAACCTGTTGAGTATTTCATAGCAAAACCTTCGAGTCATTTTCTTAATAATTATTAACATCTGGTATTTTTCCATCAACATCTTTGACAAATAATATCAGTTGTTCTTGGGATGTATAAAAAAATATTAGTACCTTTCTTGTGAATGAAAAAATGTTTTCAACTGAAATCAAAGACCAATAAATTCTTTCGAATTGCTAAGTGAACTCTAAATTTAGTGCAACAACATTCCATATTATTATGTATTGATTGTGAAATCTACAATATAATTTCCCGGAAAAATAAAAGAGATCATCAGCATTTAATACACATTACACAATTGGATATCAAAGAAAACTAAGAAAATTGAAAATGTTCTCACATCAAAATAATTCAATTCGACAAATAATTTATTTCACCCTTATATATGATAAAACAATATTGTTGATACATATTTTCAATTCCTTTCATTTCAGTGGATATAAAATTTATTCAACTAACCCAGTCAAACACAAGTGATCAATCACACTTGGCAGACTGTGTTATAAACTATTATGCATACACTAACAATTTTTTTTTAATATTTACAGACATTGATTTGAAATATTTCATATTTCAAATCTTCTATGACCACTGTCGAAGGAATTGGGGAATAAATAGAATCAGCAAAGGAGAAACTTTGTAATAACTTAAATTTTGTTCAATTTTGAAGACGGCCGCAGAATGACGGCCGTTAGAATGAGTATTGTATATTTCGTTAGTTTTCCTTGATGGGCAAAATTAATAAATATGACAAGTTACTGATAAAAAGGCTTTGAATTTACGCAGTAACTCATCGGGATGAACAAAAAAATTTGCCCTTTCTCCATAACAATTTTAATATTTCCCAGATTGTGGAAGGTGAAGATACCCAAAGAAGGTCGGTAAAAACCGTCCAGTACAAAAAATGACTGTCGTTCAATTTAGTATTGTATTGAAATGTTAGTCACATAACGTCATGCATATTTGACGTTTGGAAAAAAAAAAGAGAATGCTATGAAATCTCATTATGAAAAAATATGGTCAACAATCTTTCTTTTTTTGTCTCCTCACTTGCATCACTTTGTTTTTTTTCTCTGTGAGATGAAAAATTTTATTTCAAATTTGATGTGTCAAGTTTTCAGAAGCAAATGTGCTTGTGTACCAAACAAAATTACCCGTTTGTGGAGAAATTTTAAGTACAACTTCTTTACCATGCACATTACACATTTTTTTCACAAGCCATTTTTGAAAAGATTTCAAAATACACCCAATCTATATACAAACTACTATATCTCACCTCCTCAAATTTGAACCATGCAACAGTCAGCTTGGATGGCAGATTCAATAGAAATGTTTGGGAAAAGGATACAATTGTCTGTCCTAGAACAACCACATAAAACAAATCTTCACCCACAGATAAAACCTTCACACCTGCACCGAGAGCTGTAGTTATAATCCCAATGAAAGCTGCAACTCTTAAACCCTGTAAAATCAGTCGTTATTAGTATCGTGTAGAACCAGGAAATAAATTTGGGTGTAAGGGTGAAAAATCCAGAAACTATAGACTGCGAGTTTTGACGTCATACAATAAATATTAATCATTATTTCGACTCCCACCTCGGAGTATGCTTGTGGAGTTTTTTTTTGGCTCTGTATGCAGGTGGCGTAGTGAACATCCCACTGAATCAACTGGAGAAAGATTTCATGACTAACTGGAATTATATTTGTTTGGTCGTGGTACTAAGACGGTTCACATCGTTCTGAAGAGACCATGTCCGGTACTGATGATGAGGCATTCACCTCGAAACCGGTCTATCGCTTGGTCGGATTGACCAAGCTGCTTTTCATAATGGATAATAACTTGTGATGAATCTTCCAAATCGAAGAAGTTGCACAGGTGCTTGCTGGCTTCACTTCAACTCTCTGCTTGACATTAGCCAGGTTAGTTGTTGTTTTACTATTGGGTGTCTGCCACACGAACCTACAAAGACGTAGGTCTGCATGAGAGGAAAGGGGCAACCTTGAGCATATCATAATGCACCTCTTCGGAATAATAATCACTATTACAACTCCCGATATATGTAGTCATAGTATCATGGTATGGTACATATAATAATAATAATAATAGTCACCTTCATTAACCATATGTGTATGAAATCTAACAACAAAGTAATAGTATGGTTAAAAGGAGCCCGATCAGTCAAGACTGGTCTTCCTCGGGAACCTGGGATACAAAATAAAAAAAAAAAAAACACTAAGATTAAAGAATAAAGATTTGAAAAGTCACAAAGATAAGTAGTTATATAATTGTCATTGAAAATATAGAGGGGATTCAAGAAAGACATATTAACTAAAATTTATGGTGATTATATGAACTTATATAATAATCAAACATTGCTCCTCAAAAAGTTTTTTCTGTAGGTGATTACGAAACCTAACCACTGACATTGTTTTTACTATCAAAGCTATTCTCATCAGTTACACCCCGTATATTCATATACAGAGTGTAATTGAAAAAATGTAAAACATTTGAGGAGGTGATTCCTCATCGAAAAAAAAAATAGGATCTTTCATATAAAGAAACTTCATTAGAGCATCCCTTGTTAAGATACAGCCCCTCAAAGGGAGTACATAAAATTTGTGTATAACTTTTTTTTTCACAAGCACTGAAAAAGTTACAATATTGAAATTGACCTGACGTTTTGTACTACCAAAAAGAAACTTAGCCAGTAATTTATTTGGTTTACCCCATGGTTGTAAGGGGTGGAAAACGTAACCCCTAAAATTCATTTCCAATGTACCTTTTTGTCTTCTTATTTATTTACCATTTAAAAATTTATTTCCGATAGCCTGTTTCATTCTAAACAAAAAATGTCTCTTGGGTTTTCTGCCCAAAATAAACCAGTTCGCAGCAAAAAAATTTTGTACGAACGACTACAGAGATACATTGTTATTTTGTAGTTAGAACCTGCATTAAACTATTAAAGGGTAATGAACAAAACTAATTTATTAATAACAAAACACACAACATGTAGAAATCATAGTAAATGTTCAATATGTCTACCTTCAGACATTACGCATGCATATAGACGTCGGCGCATTGAGCTACGTATTCCTGGAGTCTCTCTGATTACCCTGCACGCATCGATGATGCGTTTTCTTAAGTCCTCTACATCGCGAACAGGAGTACGATAAACCAAATGCTGTAAATGGCCCCAAATAGGGCAGCAGTACTGGATGCAATTCTCTCAAAAATTAAACGTATGCCTCACCATTTAATTGAGGAGACATGTTAAGAGAAAACTGTTCTTGATGGTTAGTTTCGACAATACCGTGAGGGTTTTCATCAGCCCATATGTGGTAACTATGAAAATTAATAATCTTGTCCCGAGAAAAACTACATTTGTCTGTGAATTCTATCGTCTTCAGAAAGTTACAATTTCTTTTAATCATTTCCAGCATCCAATTGCAAAATTCAAGACGGTTCGGAAAGTCTCGCGGTAACAGTGCCTGTACTCGTTTTAGATGGTAAAATTTGAAATACCGTCATATGATCAACATTCATCTGGAAAGCAATCTTTCTAGCGACCACAATCCTGCGTTCTTATGTCGAATGAACCATATTTTCGTAATCGTTGATGAAGTCGAGCAAATATTCTATGTGAAGGATGCTGCCGTTGAGGATACATTTCAGAATATCTTCTAGAAGATTCTAACCCATTCCCCTGCGACAGACCGTAAACGTAATGCATATCAGCCATTTTCTCATTTGTGTATGCCATTTTAATAACAAGTGAATTATTGAAGTAACAAATTAAGAACAGAACAACCACACACAATTAGTATTGATTCAATTTCGAAAATTCACAAACTGACAGCGTCATACCAATTTAATTGTCACTATCGCTAATAGCGACCTACTAGATAGATTAGTTTCGTATTTTCGCATTCATGACAATGTATCTCTGTAGTTGTTCGTGAAATAATTTTTTACTGCGAACTGGTTTATTTTGGGCAAAAAACCAAAGAGACATTTTTTGTTTAGAATGAAACAGGCTATCGGAAATAAATTTTTTAATGGTGAACAGATATGAGGACAAAAAGTTACATAGGAAATAAATTTTAGGGGTTGTGTTTTCCACTCCTTACAACCATGGGGTAAACCAAATACATTTCTGGCTAAGTGTCTTTTTGGTAGTACGAAACGTCAGGTTGATTTCAATATTGTAACTTTTTAGTGCTCGTGAAAAAAATTGTTATACAAATTTTATGTCCCCCTTTAAGGGCTGTATCTTAACAAGGGATGTTCCAATGAAATTCCTTTATATGAAAGATCCTATCTTTTTTTCGATGAGGAATCACCTCCTTGAATGTTTTACACCTATTTAGTTACACCCTGTATTTCCACTTCTGACAAACATCTTCAGTCTTTCGCTCATAGAGATCTGTTTCGTGAACTACGGCTATTGATGGATGACGAAAATAGGTATCTGCTCGTTGACTTTTTATTTGATTTCATTTGCATTAATTTGACCCATGACTAACCTGATTGATGGATCTAATAAAATTAATTAATTCCAATATGGATGAGATCTAGATTCAAGAAATTTCATATCAACATATCTGATACAAATTACTGGAAAATTTTCATTACAAGACTGATCAGATGAGTCTCGCTTGAGGAATTTATTGTATAACAAAACACCTCTCAGTCAATTGCATCAATTGGGTTCAACATCAAAGTTTTGATCTTTTTCAAGCAAGGATTTTCCTATATCTGGGGGGGATTAATTCATGTTCATGTATCTGATGCTTTGATGTTCAATGTAAGAGATTCGGACATGTATCGTCTGAGAAGGGTAAACATAGGTAGGTACAAAGAATCTATAATGTGGGAGGAAAATGAATGAAATATTGCAAATACTTGAATCAAAATATTCAGACGAGTTAGTCAAAAAAATCAAATAATCAAAAGTTGGAGAAACTGAATAAATACCTGCTATAAAACTTTAAAATATAATAATACTGATTTTTGAATATGAAGTAATGTAAAATGAAGAGAATGATGATCGCAATTAAAGAAAATTGAATAAATGAATGAAATATTAATATTTTTCTTAGTGAGTTTTTATTGATTGAATTTATTGAATACGAACGTGTTGATGAGGAGTTGAAGACGAGAGTTTTCTCTCAAAACTTCAGGGAATAATCATTGCGAGAACAAATAGAGCACTTCGTCCGGTACCTCATTTCCTTTGGTGATATTTCCCGCAGTCGTACACGAAACGTCAGATATAAAAACCTGCAGACCACGGCCAATAAATTTGGGCACAGCTACTTCTGGTGATGAAAGTCACTCTGTAGTGATTACTAGTGTTCAGAGACTTCTTCTTTCCATTGAATAATAACCTTTCTTCATTCCTTATCTATCCCTAAATAACGGTACTATGAAAAATTTAAAAAAGGACTTGGATCAATTGTTTCAATTGGTCCATTGTAGTGAGATGATTCACGTGTTTAACTGATACGTATTCGTTATTTATTTAGTTGTTATCTAATTTAAATATGAAACAATACGTATTCCTGTTATTCGAAGGCTGAAAAGATATCTACGGTTCTATAAAAGCGAAAGCAGATTATTTTTGATCCTTCACTGTGCGAAGTCTGCAAACATAACATTTACTACAGAACTATTTTTATTGTGAGTACACAAGTTACAAATATTTTTTGCTAAACTTCTTGAAGTTGTCCATTCATCGAATATGCAGATTCATTGGTTTTGTATATTTTGGTATAGATTTGAAGTTGAGTTAGCTATGGCGATGTTGAAATGAATATCATTTGACGAAATTCCCCATCCTCGGGATAATTCTACATATTCGTGGAGATGAATATTATTCAAAACAAGTCAAAAACCATAAGGTTGATCTGAAAAGTTTCCGACCTCAACAGATGTTGACAGTTACTCACCAAAGTTTCAGCAATTTTGAAAGCGCAGTTATTATGTAACTGTCGTTTGAGTGAGTTGATGTGAGTGTTTTCATGAAAAGGGACAAAATCGATTATCGAGCTGTCATTAAATATTTGTTTTTGAAAGGCAACACTAATGTATTCAAAAAACACTTCATTGTGCGATTTTCACTAAACGACTTCGCAAAAACGCAACATGTGTTTCGATATACAATGACTTCTTTAGGCGTATCTTTACTAACTATATTCTACATATTCAATTATTAATAAATCATATTCTAAAATTTGAATTACCTACATTTCAAGTACCTACCTGATTTTTACCTAAGTTTGTGATGAAATAAATTACCTGAGCTTATGTTCCCGTTTCTACATTTGAACAAATATTTAGTAACGAGGAGTTATTCAATTCTAATTGATCATTCAGTAAATTATCAGAATTCCTGAATCTATTGATTTCTAAATATTCTAGAAGATTGAGCTTCAAACTCTTCTCTTCTAAATGTAACATATCGTATTCATGATTAACCTCATGTCCTTCTGCTGAAAGGTGGTTTGCAAGTGTGAAATTGGCCTTTCTATTGATAGAACTACTTCTATGCTCTTTAGTTCTTTGGAGAAATGTTCTCCCGGTTTGGCCAATATACAGTTTTGGACATGTGTCACAAGTCAGTTTTTATACTGCTGATCTATCCGATACCGAAGTTTTGTCCTTATTGTTTTAATCAAATTTACTTAGACTATTATTTGTTCTGTAAGCTACGTTTACGCACTCTTTCTTCAAAGAACGGGCAATAATAGTGGTTGGTGGCCTATAACAGACGTTATCGCATCTGTATTTGTGTAGACCAGGTCTATGGCAACCAGTCCAAGGCAATACGCCAATGCGAATCAAAAATAAGTTGGATTATGTGTATTGGGGCTCTGAACCATCATTTATCACAGTGAAATTTCGGGCAGCTGAATTTTAACGTGACCGAGGAGATGATGAGTGTTCGAAACGTCCAAAAATTGCAAGTAACGACGAAAACATTGCCTAAATTTACCAAATGATGCTGGATGACAAGAGAGAAAACAGAAGTTATGATCGTGTCAAAAGAAGGTGTTTGACACATATTGAATCATAGGATATATTCTAATCGATTATCTTCAAAAACTAAAAACCATTACAGGTGCATACTGAGTATCATAACTTGACAAGCTGGAGACAGAACTTGCGGAAAATCAGTCACATTTGCAGAAGGAAAAAATCCTGTTTCACTAAGGCAACGCACCGTTTCACACCTCAGCGGTTTTCATGATGAAAATCCACAAATTACGGTTTGAACTGCTTGATCATCCGCTTTACTCACTGTCGAGTTTATCAGCTAGAAGTATCAATATTATTATTTTATATCAAAAATAGATAGAAATTAAAATCGTAAATTAAAAATTAAATTTCAGCCAACCGGAACATTCCGTTTTGTGACCGCTCTTTTTCTCAAAAAATCTTCTAATCGTAAAAAAAATTCGGCACAAAATGAGAAAACAACATATCGTCTTCATCGGGAGATGGTCCTCTAGTTTCAATGTGAAACTAATTAGAGACCAGCGCGGACGTTTTGTTGAAGTGTTCTGGGTTTCAATTTTTTTTGCTTGAATATGTCACTAAGTTTTACTATTAGAAATCAATTTTCTTCGGCTATCGTTATTGTTAATAATTGCAAAATTTGTATAGTATTGGATACTAAAAAATTGAAATTACTAAGTACTATAGCTAATTTTTAAATAATTTGAAACTACAAGAAGGTAGCAACATGAGACCTCCGATTGTGTCTCATTTTACGATCACGAAAATATACTCTATTGCCTTTTATACTGTGATCAAAATTGAAAAATCACACACACACACAAGAAATGAAAACCATATTTCAGATCAGAGTACACTTTTTTGAAATTGCTCAATTACGGTTTACATATTTTTGCCTACAAATAGATGTGTTGTAAAATATATCTAGTTTTTGAAATGTTCGATATTTTCTTTTGTAACTCTAACTTTTATCATTACTATTTTATTTCATTTTAGCATCAAATAAGAGAAGAGCTGAGAGCAAATGAAGGGGCTTCACTTAAAAATGTGAAAAGTGTTGTTCCTGAGACGTCAGATTCTACATTAAACTCAAATTCATCAGTCAACTGGACCTTCAAACCCAGAAACGAAAATAAATCAATTAATGCATTGAAATTAATCAAAAATTATTTAAGGTCGACAATGAGTACTCCAAGACTAACAAATTTGGCTATCTTGTCTATTGATTAAGAGGTGTGTGATGCTATAGACATTGATGGTGCAATAAAAGACTTTGCTCTTGAAAAGTTGATGTTTAAATGTTCAATCAAAGCCGAAGGTTTTGTTTTCAACTCAACAAATACCTACCTATATTATTCTTCAAAAAGATACAAATATTACTTAATAGTATCATCCTAGTTCTAATTAAAAAGTGATTATCGAATAAATAATACCTATGTACCTGTTATATCAATGGTTGTAGTAAGAATGTTGTATTGATGAACGTGATTGTGAAACAAATATATTATTTTATTTGGAAGCTTTTATTTTACTAGACTTGTATATATGTCAACAAATCTTGCAAGTTCAATTTGACCCACTTTCTGGTATCCGATTGACCTAAAATTGCATGCTGGTCCAGAACCGATGACAATGTATGTTAATCATAAGTGTGACTTGATGCTGCTGCCAGGATCGGCTCAGTACGAGAGATCTCCTCAGCGGTAAATAGCAGGGACACGAAATTTCGTATACGCATTCGTAGAAAAAATGATAATATAGATTCAAATAATATTTTACCATCTGATAAAAACTAGACGAGGGGTTACCTAAAGAGTTGGAAATATTTGTGGGGGTCAAGGTGATGTTGTGATACAATGTTGATGTGTCTAAGGGTCTAGTGAATGGTGTTATCGGTCATATAATAGAAATTATATGGCCCTGTTTCCGGAGAGCACAAATGTATGACACATACATTCCATCAGTCCGTATCGACTTCGGCAAAGATGGGATCCACGTTATTCAACAGAAATCTGTGCAATTTCCAGCTAAATTCAGTCATGATAAAGCTGAACGTAGAATGTTGCCAATTGTTTCATGCTGGGCTTGTACAGTTCATAAAATGCAGGGTAGTACGGTTGACCACGCTGTTGTATACTTGGGTTCAAAGCGTACGTGGCTTTAAGTAGGGTCACATCAATAGAAGGCCTTCTGATAGAAGAATTGGACAGTTCGAAATTAACTGGGACTCTTTCATGTGATGATGACGCCATCAATGAAATTAATAGACTAAGAAATATAACAAGCTAATTCTTCTATAAGGTATGCCGGAGAAGTAGGTACCTACCTACTTCTATAGAATATAGTTTATCCTGATAATATTTCTCCCCGTTCCTTAAGTTTTTCTGTTGAAGGACTCTCTGTTCTATAGATGGACTTTCGTATTGATCGATAACTATCGATTGAAGCTAAAAAATATGAAATAAAATAATGGTGAAAAAACTTTCAAAACAAGCTTTCATTTAAGTGCCCTAAAAAGATCAAAATAAAAATTTTAAATCACATCAACCATATCCATTTATAACTTTACAGAATTGAAATTATAATAAAAGCTTGTCGCGATGCCTAGAAGAAATCTCTACATATTCAGTCAGATGAAATTCAAATAAAATTTTAAATATCAAACCCGATAAATCCTGTGTGCAAAAATGTTATTCAAGGTTGAAGTTCCACATTTTAAGCATTCACGGTACTTTTATTGAATTACAAACATTATGAATTGCCTACAAGTTTAGTAGGTGCCAACCTAATTACAAAATTTCAAATACAAATCGAAATTATCGCGACAAGCTTTTATTATAATTTCAATTCTGTGAAGTCATAAATGAATGTGGTTTATGTGATTTAGAATTTTATTTTGATCTTTTTAGGGCACTTGAATAAAAGCTTGTTTTAAAAGTTTATTATCATTATTTTATTCAAAATCTTACTTGTATAAAGCAAAATAATGATGACTATTGTTGCCAAAAAGTTCTCTATAATTATATAGAATTATATTATATGTATAGTATACATTACATTGAAATACCTAATTAAGAGGGCAGCAGAATTGTCTTTCGCCCCGGGCAGCCGATACCCACGCTACGCCACTGAGTCGAGTGAAGTCTTTGGAAGGTTAATGTATTGAGGAGTCAGACCACAATAATGGGAAATGAATCTTGTAATACTGAGGCACTAAATGAATTAAAGAAAATGAGAAGAATTGAATAACTAAATTTGAAAATGAAAAGTTGAAAATTGAATAGGTAAAAACAAATTTTGATGTTAAACTACTTCACTGGAAAAAAATTATGATGATGTAGATAATATATTGAAATCAGGAAGGTCCTAGGCAGCAGTCATCAAACCACTCTCTCCAGCAATATACGATAATGATCAGAAAAAATGATAGGAAAATTATAGAATCGTAGAATAAATATGAAAATACTACGCCCAACGATTTTATAATTTTTTTATCTCATCAATACCGTAGATTGCTGAGGAGAGTAGTGTGATAACTCCTACATAGGACTTTCCGAATAACTTTTCTGGTTTTAGTTCATTATATACATCATCAATATTTTTTTTTTCAATGAAACCCATTGAAAATAAAAAATGTTATTACTTATATTTTGAATCCGGGTGGTTATTTATGTCTATTCAGTTGCCAATTTTGATAAGTATATAGAAATAAGTTTGAGAAATAGTATTTTTCGTGACTCACCATTTTATCAATGATGTATGATGCAGGAAAAATGAATATTGGCCAGATTATCATGAAAGATATAGATGTCCAATCGACCATAGTTGCACTCACATGATAATACTTCATGACGATGTTGGTTATAATCGAATATTCGATCCACTGAAACGTACTAATGCATATACAGGATATGTAAATAATCAAAATAATCCATCTTTTACGGTAAGCTCGTATCACGGGTTGAATCCCAGGTTCTTTCAAAGTTTCTTCTTCCATATCAGTAGAGCATCAAAACTGCGTATATCATTCTCGATTTCTTATATTATATGCCTAGTGTTATAGTCATAAATGATAATTCACACAGATTATTTAATTTACCTTCTCAAATAGAATCGTTCATATTTTGAAATACAACGATGGAGGATTGATGAAATCACATCTGTACTATCCCAACTAACAATCTCCTTATCATTTATTTTTTCAGCATTCTAGAAATGTTCATACAACACGTTCATGAAGCATTTGTATCATTGAACGAATTTGATCAGGACTATAGTGACTCTTTCCTAACCGTTTCATAAACATGTACAAGTTGTTTTGAAGGAACTCCCAAAAATGGTAAAAAGTGAAAAAAAAAATAGTAGGATGAAACCCATTAGAGAAGGAGAGGAATATGATAAAAATGGAAGCAAAAAATAAATAACGGGCGATCTGAGTTCAGGAAGTGGAAGGGAGTGTGTTTTTAAGGGTTACTCATCAAGGCTCTTCTCAAAGAGCCTAGATGAAGATAGTACGACCAGCTATCGAAAGCGCTCGCATATAATTAAAGTTATAAAGTTATAAAGTTATANTTAATTTTGATCTCAGCCATTTCCAGAAATTGCCTTTTATTTGAATCTGGTTCGAAATGGAGAATTTTGGTGTTAGTATAATTGGCTGAATGATCATTATCTAGAACATGTTGTGTGAGTGCACAAGAATTTCGTTTTAAATTTTTACAATTACTTCTATGAAGAGCTATGCGGGTTTTTAAATTGTTTTTTGTTTGACCTATATATATCTTATCATAATTGTTGCAGGGAACTTCGTAAACTACATGTGACTTTTCAAATAACGGATCTTCATCTTTCAATTTTGAATGTAGTTAAGGGTTTAACTTTCCTTTGTGAAATTTTTATATTCTGTTCTTGTTTAAATACGTTCATGATTTTGCTGGACAATTCAGGGACATAAGGAATGTAAAAGTATTTGAAATTTGGATTTTCAGCTCTATTGTTCTCTCTGATGTTGATGATATTAGATGAAGTATTATATAACAATTTATTTAAAAATTTTGGAGGATAAGAATTAGTTAATAAAATATTCAATACCGGGTAGGCGGTCCTCGATTGAAGACAAAATGAGAAAAACCAAGAAAGTACTTGATAAAAATAGCTGCGTAAACGCAAGCGAAACATAAGTGGAACCACCTATTGGTGTGACACACAAGTCGTATCATTTCTAGAAACATGTGGATTCGTTTTTGGATGACATTCCAGGTTAGCTTTCCAAATATCTGCCACCACAGTTTTTGGTTGATTGGTCAAACCACCAACACTGACATAAAAACTTGACAAGTTTACTTGGGTGTCACACCAATAGGTGGTTTCACTTATGTCTCGCTTGCGTTTACGCAGTTATTTCTATTGAGTATTTTTCTTGGTTTTTCACATTTCTGTTAGCTCACGATGTTTTGATTGTTAGTATCTACAATCGTCTTCGGGTGATGACTGGTCAGTCATCACCTGAACAACAGCCATCTGCCAAAAAGACGATCTCACAAAAAAAAGAATCGGACAACGGCAACGAACTAATCAAAATTCTGAGTAAGCTCACGTCGGAGCAGCAAAAGATCGAGCTAGCGATCTAAGCTGCACTAATTCAATCACCCTGGAGACAATAATGCCTGCACGAATCCCGGAACAATTGAAAATAGGATCATGGAATAGAAAAGGTTCCACAGACAGGCGAAACGAGCTACTGGAGCTGCTATCGCGGCTAGACATAGACACGTCATGGCACTGCAGGAGACAAGGTTGAGGAGCGAAAAGAGCTACCGAATCCCAGGATACAATGTATATAGGATAGACAGGCCAGGGGGGCGCCGCGCCGCTGAGGGAGCGCACTCACTAGTGCAGAACATTAATACTACGGAGATGGAAGTACTAGACGATAGTTCGTCAGACCACATCCCTATCCTACTTACAATAGGAAGAGGTGAAGTGGAAATCAGACAACCCAACAAAGCGAGTCATCGACTGGACGAGATTCCAGCGCGCCATACATCATGCGATGGATGAGATACCACGCATCGAAACAAGAACGGATCTGGAGAACAGCAGGCGATCATCCAAGCGATGAAGAGAAGCTCACGGGAAGTGCCAGCCCCACGCTTTAACTTCCAAGAGCAGCTCCCACCAGAAACGGTGGAGCTAATCAGAATAAGAAGACGCCTGAAAAGACGATAACAAAGGACACGAGCACTCCTGGATAAAAGGTGCATGCAAAGAGCCAACAGGATACTGAAAGACGAATTGAAAGCTATCCGAAATAGACAATGGACTACCCGTCTGTAAGAACTAAATACTTGAGACTAGTCTGCATGGAGAATGCAGAAAGTACTCAGAAAGGGACCTCGATAGTCATGCCCGCCATTACACGACGAGCAAGGAATCGTCTACACTGACCAGGAGAAAGCCGAAGCATTCGCGGACAACTTCGAAAGGCAGTTCAGAGAGAACGACGTCCCGTTCACGGACGTGGTAGACGAAATAGAGGGACATGAATAATGCCATTGCCCTGTGCTGCCCTGGCTCGAAAGCCTTTCAGCTAGGCATCTTCCCTCTATCCTAGCATCACCAATGCCAAAGGACTCGTGCTCGTCCAAATCACCGAGGGTCACAGACCCATAACTTTATTGAATAACAAACCAAATTTACATTTCTTCACAACTTTCAAAACAATAAATTGAACTTACCTAATTGAACTTAACTATATGTTTCTCTCTAAGGTAATACATAACTAATTTAACTTGACTAAATGATTCTCTCCAAGGTACTACATGAATTATTCAGAATTATTCCAGACCAAAAGAAGTCTTTACTCTCTGTTTCACAATTCATTTTCTGGTTTCACAAGTCAGATAGCGTCTAATCCATGGGTTGTCTAGATTGGGAGGATCATCGTTTCTTTAGCGTCGTTTCTTCAGCAGCATCATTGGTAGCTTGCCTCTCATCCGTCCCTCTCATCTCTCACGACACTCTCTGCCCACTCATTCGCCACACTTATCCATTAATTTCTCCTTTCATTCCTGTCTCTCATCTGCATTTCTCCCTTCTCTTGTTCCAGCCGTTCTTTCCATTCGTGCCACCCAGTTCTATCACCGTCCATACATCTCTCTATCACATGTTCTGCCGTTTCAGGCTCCCCCCATCCACATGGGCACGGCACCTCCTGCGCCAGGTTAAACCTAGCCAAGTATACCGGGAAGTTACCGTGCCCCGTGGACAGCTGGACTGCCTTCCTCGACAGATCCAGTGACTCATACCCGACTGTTCTACAGAACCTGTATAGCAGTCGCCCAGTCATACCGTTGTCCCATTCTCGCTGCCATTCTTCCTTAATCCATTCCTTTATCCTTTTTCTCTCCTCACTCTTACTACTCATTCTCCTCACATTCCATGAAATGCTATCCCTACGCATTCCTTTCTCGGCCCCCTTGTGGGCCTTTTTATTGCCAGGGTTGTCATGTAGGTGACCCTTGCGCCATACGATTTCGGTCCGTGCCCCCCTTTCATACCTCTCCTCAATGATTCTCTGTATTCTAGCCACCCTTTCATTCCTCACACATACCACTTTCATCCTTTCCATCGCTATTGCGGAATCACTGATCACCCTTTCGTTCTCATTGATACCCAACATTTCTATCACCTTCTCTATATTGCAATCAGTTCCGCTTCATTCACACAGCTCTGCTCGGAAATCCTCTCGTTCCCTAGAGCCCATTTACCTACATTCCTTTTCTCGTCCATCCTCGCTCCGGCATCCACATATACCTCGTCCATCCCTTCGTCCTGCGTCTCCTCCAGTAACCCCCCTTGCATTCAGGGAAGTATCTCATCTATACCTTTCAATCTATCCTGAGTCTTCCTTTCCCCATTCATTCTCCACTCATGGTATCTAGCCCCAGCTTCTATATGAAGTGGGGTTATCCCCACACTGAGTGCGGCTGTCGGCGCCGTCCTATATGCCCCACATGCGGCGATGAGAAAAGGCCTCTGGACCGCACTCAGCTGTCTCCTGACTCTACTATCATGCACTCCACTCCCCCACACTTGCACCCCATACATAGCTGCAGGTTTCGCTACCCTTTCACAAATCATTCTTACACACTCTCTCTTCATTCCAATATTCCTCCCGGTCCATCTCCTCATTTTCCTCACCAGGTTACTTAGATTTTTTCTTACCTCCTTGTGGTGGTCAACAGTAGTCCAGAGTCCACCACAATTCTCAGGTATTTGACATTCATTCTGACCTCAATTTCTCTCTCATTCACTGTTATGACCAGGATTCTTTCATCCCGTCTGGCCTGTATGTACATGCATTTTCTCTTCCTTTCGTTGTATCCCACCCACATCTCTTCCTCCCATGCTTTACATTCATTCCAGACCAGATTCCATTTCCTCTCAATGTCATCTGCAGAGCTACCTTCGATGATGACCAGCTGGTCATCCGCATAGGCCTGCACTTGTACCCCAATCGTACCTATGCCTTGTCTCTCTTTCATGCTTCTGATTCGCTCGAACCATATCTCCATCACAGTCAGCCATAGGGTTGGTCCCAGACTTGAACGCTGTGGACAGCCTCTGTTTACGTTGTCAGAGATCGCTCCACAGGTGACTGTTCTCTCCCCTATGAAACTCATGCTCCCTACGTTTTCCGGCATACCCATTCGTCTCATGCATTTCTCAATCGTCGGTGCCCAAGCGGTATTGAAGGCATTGGACAGGTCCAATGCCACAACCAGACTGTGTCTCCTTCCTCTCTCATTTTCTTTGATCCTTTTCACCATTTTCTCTACTGCCATTACCGTATCCATTCCTCCTCTAAAACCATATTGGTTTGGAGAGAATTTCAACTTCCTTTCGCACCAGACTTGAACCCTACCGTTAAAAAGCCTGTCCAACATTCGCCCTATGCCTGTCAGTAAGCTGATGGGTTTGGGGCTTCCGTCCTTCTTTGGTACCCATACAATCTTTCTTCGCTTCCATACCGCAGGGAAATACCTTCTTTCCAAACA